GATGGGAGGAAGGGAGGAAGGGAGGAAGGGAGGAAGGGAGGAAGGGAGGAAGGGAGGAAGGAAGGAAGGAAGGAAGGAAGGAAGGAAGGAAGGAAGGAAGGGGTGGGGTGAAAAAAACAAAGGTAGATATACCTCTCATTCTAATAAAAGGGAAAAATACCTGATCTTCAGAAGAGATGAATTTTCTTTTTTGACATCAATTTTTGGAGAATTTAGTCATAAGAATAAATATCATAAAAACAAATCATGGGAAATATCTTCAATAGCAATTCTTCAGAGGATGCATTTTCATGGCCACTTTTCATATAAATTCACTATTTTTAAAAAATATGATATTATAAATGGAAAAGTCCAGAAATAAAAACATATATTAAATTGGACTTCTTTAAAAATATTTCTAGTACAGATATGTTTCAATGCCACAGACAGTCCCTGACTTACAATGGTTTGATTTAACGATTTTTCAATTTTATGATAGTGCAAAAGCAATATACATTCAGTAGATAACGTACTTCAAATTTTTAATTTTTATCTAGAATTGTATGTTAAGATACCATATCATGATGCTGGGCAGCTGCAGTGAGCCTCAGCTCCTAGTTAGCCATGAGATTATGAGAATAAACAGCTGATAGTGTTAGATGATTTTGCTCAACTATGGGCTAATGTAAGTGTTCTTAGCATGGTTAAGGTAGGCTATGCTATACTATGATGTTCCATTGGTGTATTAATTGCATTTTCAACTTATGATATTTCCAACCCATGATTGGTTTATAAGGCTCTAACCCCATTTAAGTCAAGGAGTATCTATACAATGTTGTGCTTAGCATATGGAAAATCAAGATGACAGCCCTCAGACAGTCTGTTTGTGAGAGAACCGGATGCATCAAATTTACAGTCTGATAGTGACTGAGGAAGGCATCTAAGAGTAGCAAGGCATATTTGTCTTCAGGAGCCAGCAAAAACACACAATGAAGCCCTAAAACCATCAGGATCAACACTAAGGCAAACCCATCCCCCGATAGGACTTTTCTCCTGAAATCTGCAGGGCGCTCCTTTTGGACATTTCCCTCCTCCTTCACCCCCCCCCCTTTAAATTTATTTTGTACTTAATTTTATCTACATAAGAATGTTGGTGGGGGTTGGAGGGTGGTCATGCAGTGAAATTCTGCCCCAGAGCCACACCCTTATGGAGATGATACTGAGCCCTTTAAAGCTTAAACCAGTGGATTCCCCAGGATTCACTGTAATATACTTTGTGAAATTTCACTCTGGCTTTTAGAGGCAATTTATCAATACCAGACTATTCTATAGGTTCCTACAGACTTATAGAGGGGAAACAGCTCAGTTGGGGGTACTCTCAACCTGAGAGTGTTCTGGCACAGCTGATTACAAAGTACTTAAGTGGAAACAGTGTTAAGGAAAGCAGTATTTAGTTGGTCAAAAGATATAGTAACTACTTTTATTATCCTGATTAAGTCATATTACCCCTTTGGACTCAATCTCCTCAACATTAAAATAAAAGGCTTGAATTATATCATCTGTAAACCCTAGCTGTATTATGACATGATTATTTATAAATTACGGATATGAGCATGGTGTGTGTGTCAGTGGTGGTGGATGGGGGTATGTTGTGTGTGATCATGTTACTCCACTATTTAATATCCTTCAGTGTCTCTTGGGGTAAAAATCCAAACTCTTTACACTTGGCCTATAAAACTCTTCATGATCAGAATGTGGTTTATGTCTCCATCGCATCTCCTGCCATTTATCTTTTATATACATACTATATGTATACCACATATGCATTCTATATATACCATATATACACATACATATGCAATATATGCACATTATATATGTATACGTATACTATGTATATAATATATACTATGTCCTTTTTATGTATATAATAAATGTCCAGTAAGCCCAAACAATGATGTCTCTTGCCTGCAGCCTCTCACACATACTATTTCTTTGTCTAAAATTTATGAAACAGTAAAAAAAATTGAGACAGTAAACGTATTTTATGAGACAGTATTATTGCTCCCATTTTAAAGATGAACAGAGGTCCCAAAAAGTGATTTACCCCAAATTATTTCCTCCTGAAAGGCCCTCCTGATCTGATCTCTCAAATCTCCAATAGCTGCCCATCCTATAGACTCCCTTAGCATTAATAATAGCAATTAACACACTAGATTATGACACTCAATGTTCTATCAATGAGTCTTGCTTACTATTACATTTTCAATGTCTGGCATAGTACTTAACAAATACTTATTGAATGAATGAATGAACTAATAAATTCAGAGTGAATTAGGCCTAATGAGGCATTAATGTGTCTCATTCTCTACTCTTTTGCCTATCTTCCCTTTGCTCTGCTGTTCCTAGTTACTTGGTGGATGCAGCCATACTTCAGAGGTATTGCAGGTTGGGTTACAGACCAATAATACAGCGAGTCTTAATCTTTTTGCTGGTGGAATATCTTGCCTTCAATTTGTAAAATACACAGTATCTGTGAAATGCAATAAAGCAAGGCACAATAAATTGAGGTATGTCTATACTACTCATCAGTTTTTGCTACTCAGCTGTTCAATGGAAGGCAGGGCACTATCTCTAATTATGGAAGCCCAAACGCTTGTAAAAATGTTATTTCAACCATGGCTGAACACTGGTTGCCATTGTAGATATAGGATATGGAGCTGTTCCTGGTTATGTTGCTTTGTGAATAATAATTATCTATGTACCAT